AGTTAGCGTAATGGCTATGTCGCTGGACTCCCACGTAGTCGACCGCGGTTCGCGTCCCGGACCCGGTGGCTTAAAACTCACGCTGGGCACGTGTGCGTGCGTGCCCAAGATCCCGAGAGGAGAATGGAGGAGAAGGGATTGCGGCGTGACCATCCCCCCTGGGGGGTGATTTCTCGCTTTCTGTCTCTAATGTCTCTCTCTGTCTGCCTGGCGAGCGTACGCGCCCTATAGTGAAAATCTCTCAAAAAAAAAAAAAATTTAATGTCCTAAGTCACATCTGCAAATAAGTAAGACCAAAGTCAATATTAACACCAAAAGAGGTTTCAGAGAAGCAATTACTTTTCTTACTTTCTAAATGGGTTAAGAATGATGGGAACCAACAGTTAGCGTAATGGCTATGTCTCTCTCTGTCTGTCTGGCGAGCGCACGCGCACTACAGTGAAAATCTCTCCAAAAAAAAAAAAAAAAAATGATGATGACTACACTTAGCCAAATTATTCCAACACAATAATAAAAACAGCTCCTATTTTGCATTTTAATTTTTGCTAGAGTATTTTTCCTCCAAAGATGAAAAAAAAATATTCTTCTCTTACTGATGTGTTAAAAAAAAAAAAGTAGGCAGGAGTTTTTTGTGCAATTTCACAGGAGGATTCCTGAATCCTACCTTCTGTTCAACTATTTTTGGTATGTATCTAGGTTTCAAAAAAAAAAAAAAAAATCTGAATGGACAGATGTCTGAATTTAAAATGAAGCTATGTATTCAAAATCCAATTCTTTTGTAAAATAGCAGTAGGGCAAAATATTATACTAATCTAAAAATATAGCGAGTCTTAGTTAAGCTTTTTAGTCAATTTATTTTGATTGCTCTACATGTTAGTCACATGACTGGTAAATTAGAGGCAGCCTGACACTAACCCAGTTTGTGTCCATCACCTGATTATACAAGGAGTTGATTTTTGTGAAGAAGAAACTTTGTTTTACATATTTACAATTAAGAAAACATTTTCTAGAAAAATATTGCAGAAAAACAAGTTTAACATCATATACATAAAAATGCAAGGAACAGCCATGATTCAAATCATATTTAATGTCACCTGGGGTTATTAGCCTAGGGCATAAGCTACTGTTCCAAAGATTTACAAAAAAAGTCCTTTTTTACTCTCAAGGAATTGGACTGACAACAAGGACTCCATGGTCAGCAGAACTAATTTTCCATGCAGAAAAGTTCAATTTAATTTCTTTTGTTTTGTTTTGTTTGTTTGTTTGTTTTTTGGAGAGGTTTTCACTATAGGCCACGTGCGCTTGCCAGACAGAGAGAGAGACATAGAGACAGAAAGCGAGAAATCACCCCAACCCAGGGGGGATGGCCACACCGCAATCCCTTCTCCTCCATTCTCCTCTCGGGATCTTGGGCACGCATGCACGCACGCAAGCCCGGCGTGAGTTCTAAGCCACCAGGTCCAGGACGCGAACCGGAATCGACTATGTGGGAGTCCAGCAACATAGCCATTACGCTAACTGCTGGTTCCCCAATTTAATTTCCAATACACAGCACACTGTTACTTGGTCCACTTACAAGACATTTCGAAAATCATACACATTTATCCCTGAACTTTTTTTTTTTTTTGGAGAAGATTTGTTTGCTATCTACCAGAAAGACAGAGACAGACAAAGAGACAGTAAGAAATCACCCCCCAAGCGGGTATGGCCACGCTGCAATCCCCTCTCTTCCATTCTCCTCTCGGGATCTTAGGCATGCATGCACATGTGCCCGGAGTGAGTTTAAGCTGCCAGTGCTGGGACTTGAACCGTGGTCAACTACACTGGAGTCCAGCGACATAGCCATTATGCCAACTGTTGGTCCCCCCTGAACCTTAAGAGAGATTTTTGCTATAGAGAGCATGTATTGCTGGAGAGACAGAGAGCAATAGAGATGGAAAGCGAGAAATCACCCCACAGTGAGGATAGCCATGCTACAATCCCTTCTCTCGGGATTTTGGGCATGTACACATACACATCCAGCAAGAGTTTTAAGCCACCAGGTCTGGTACTCAACCGCAGTCAACTACATGGGAGTCTAGCAACATAACCATTATGCCATCTGCTGTTCCTATCCCTGAACTTTCATAGAAAAGAAGAATAAAGATGAAAAAAAAACCTAAGGAGTATAACAACTCAGACAACACAATTCAAGACCTGCAGGAATCCAGATGTTTGGAATCAACATCTGTCTTTGCAGCACGCCAACTGTGAGCAGGTGTTATGGTATTAGCATTCATACAAACATTCTTGGCAGACAGTATTCATGTCCAGGGAAGCAATAAGATTGTAAAGTACTCATGTAATGTAAGGAAAATGGTACAACCAACCCAAGATTGAAAGTCCTTCCTTCCAGTGGTGATGACTGATGTGGGCTACCTTGTTCTGTCCTGCTCATGCAGAATCTGCTAGAATCAACCTCATTAAGAGAGGTGGGTAAAGATGAGGTTAGGGCTCTGGCTGTGGCCTGCTGGAGGATCATCCCCTAACTTTATTCTGAACTTTGCCAAGCAAGCACAAACCACTCTTTGAAGTAATCATCTTGAGAACCTTTAAACGTGCTCTGAACTTAAGATTTCTCCCTAAATCACAATTACTACTTCTTTTTTGTTTGTTTGTTTTTTAAAGAGATTTTTTTGCTATAGGATGCATACACTCCTCAGAGAAACAGACAGACAGAAAGCGAGATACCACCCCCCAGGGGAAATGGCCATGACATAATCCCTTCTCCTTCAGTCTCCTCTCAGAATTTTGGGTGGGCGGGCACACACACACACCTACCTGGAGTGTCAAGCTGCTGGGTCTGGAACTGTGGTCAACTACATGGGAGTCCAGTGATGTAACCATTATGCCATCTGCTTGTCCCTCTTTTTTTTTTTTTTTAAGAGAGATTTTTGTTGCTCTCAAACTATGGTCAACCATGTGGGAGTCCAGCGCGTTAACCACTATGCCACCTGCTGGCCCCACAATGGCTTAACAGTGAAGCTACACAAGCAAGCCTTTTCTTCATTGCATTCATTTAGATATGGGTTCAGGATGCAATGAGAATCAAACTTCACAGGTTATCTTACGAGTCATTTGTACAACCAGCATCTTCTTAGAAACAATTATTAATCAGATAATAATGCAAGTATGAAGTCTGCTAGGAATTAAGCTTAACAGAACCCACACATCTCTCTCGTCAGTATTTAAATGGCAAAACCACCAGTTCTTTTACTTGGAAGGGAGGCACTACCTCTAACAATGTTTTCCTTTTCCTTTTTATTAGCCAATATGTATAGATTATATCCCGAAAGGTCAATTTCTACTTTCACAAAACATCTGAGTCACTAGAGATAACAAATATTTTATCTAAAATTTCACTAGAGCTCTCAATCATCCCAAATTAGCATCCTAAAAGACTGGGCTCTTCCACAATGAAAGAACTTGAGGATTGGGACCTTCAGATTACTTACTTGTTAAAAAAAGGTTCAATGAGTTTTGATCTGGCAGACACATGAATTTTTGGAGGACTGAGAAAAGAACCTAATTAAGAAAAGAAGCAGGGCATTATACACAGTCATGTAGACAAAGCCTGAAAAGTTTAGACAAAAAATATATTTAAATCACTAGTATGGTCCAGCAAGGATAAAGGTATTTTACAAGCCAAGAACCATACCATGGATGTTCTCCCCTCTTCTCCTCCAACTCCAACCTCAACATTCCAACTTCTAACTGGTTGAGTGCATCCCAAGAAAACAGTAGTGCTACAGACTGCATGTGACCTCCCAAAATTCACATGCTGAAGTTTAATCAAGGGTCTTTGGAGGTGAGAACTTTGGGAGGTGATTAGGACATGAAGGTGGAACCCTAATGAAAGGGGTCAGTTTCCTCATAAGAGACACAAAAGCTTCCTCTTTCTTGCTATCCATGATGTGAAACTATAAGGAGAAGGCCAACAGTAAAGCAGGAAGTGGGCTCTCACCAGATATCAGATCAGTTGGCTACTTGATCTGGACTTCCCAGCCTCCAGAACTGTGAGAAATAAACGTCTACTGTTTAAGCCCCCAAGTCTGGGTCACTGGTTACAGCAGTCTTAGCTAAGGCAGGGAGCTAGGCAAGATGCCCTCAAGACCACTATGTGTTTGAGGGAAACACACATACTGAGTACCTAGGAAGTTTGCCATGGAGATGAAGCACAGTCCTGTGATATAAGCATCATAGCCTGCCTCGTGCAGCTGTTCAGAAGCTGTGTCATAACTTGGGAAACCTTCTGCACTTTCTAAAGAGAAAAAAGAAAAAAGTTTTCCCCAGGACATCACAAAACATCACGACTAGTAAGCACATTGGTTATCAAACACAAATTGCATTAGTATATGTGCTACAGAAATAACCCAAATAAGCAGGAAAAAAGCTATTGGTTTCCTACATTTCTCCATCTAAGATCTTATGATATGAAGCGACCGTCACTGAAAAGGAGGGCTTGGATTTGACTGGAGAAGTGTCTCAATCATGATACCAAGCCCTAGCTGTGGTCTTTTCATCCAGCGCTAGTGGGCACTATCAGGATCTCAAATAGCTTGCTCGATGACAACTCCTCTTGTGACTGCTTTCTCAGGTCATGGGAAGGAAACTCTTCCCTTATGCATGATCACGCATCAGGACCCAACAGATACCTTGGAGCAAGGATTAATATAATAGCATGGACTCTGGAGTGGTGCTGTCAGTGTTTGAACCTCTGTCCCACTGCCCATTTCACTTGCCCTTAGCCAAGAGGCTAAGAAGCCATGCCACCGCTCATTTGCTACATGACCTTGAGCAAGTCACTTCACCTCTGAGCCTCTGGTTTCATAAAATGCAGATGATAATAAAACTTCCCTCATAAGGTTTTTGTGAGGATCAAATGAGATCATGCAAACACAGCTCTTGCCTAGTGGTAAACACTCAATATTTACTATTTATCAATACCCCACAAAATCTCCCCCAAAAACAAAAGACTCCAACTCAGTGTTGGTGGCTCAAATTCCTCCCTGCCTTCTACTGTTTCCACCTTGTGAGATCTAAAGGTGACAGCAAAACCAACTCCCAAAATAGATTAGAACTTGCTGTAATGCTGTTCTTGGCTCATGGAGCCACTTCGCAGCAAAGACCACTTAATAACACGGTTCTTTTGTCACAGTGATATACACAGATGTTGAGAGGACAAAGTCTGAGAAGTAACCTGCTTTAGACTAAACTCTCTACCAGACACCATGAAAAAAAATGATAAACTATAATTCATACATAATTATTTCCCAGAATCATTCTGGAAATTAGTGCTAAGAAAGCTACTATACTGTAACATGAATCAAAAGCATGAATAGAAATTAACAATGAAAAAGCTATAACTGTTTTTAAGTCAATATAATGTTCTTTAACTGAGAATTCTTTCACCTCCATAAGTATTAAATATTAGACTTGAAGCTTTTTTTAAAAAAAGCCTTTTAATCCAGTAGCCATCTGAGTAATAGCTGCTACTAGACCACCAGGTGAAACACATTACTTCCAAGATCGATTAATCCTATTCTATTGTAAAAATATACAAGGTTTTCTTCCCCTTTACCACCCCTTTGCTAAATTCTTTTCTTGGATTATTACCCAGAAGGGGAAACAAATAACAGTAATCTTGGCTGCTGTAATACCTTCCATTATCAATTTCTGAACCATTAGTCCTATTATCAATGTCTTTAGAAGTTTTCCAGCTCCAGCTAATGGAGTGCTAATTTCAATATCAGCAGCACAGTTAGGCCAACAGGGACCAAGGAAGCAGCACCTGGGAGGCTCGCCACACACCTGAGTGTTGGCATCACACCTCCATCCAGAGGAAGTGCCTCCTCTCTCCCTCACATTTTCCTCAGTGCTGCTGTTCCCATCCCCTAAGCCATCCCAAAAGGAGGCAGGGGTTGGGACTCTTCTTAATCAAGTCTACAAACCCAGTTCTTGGGCATTTCTGAGACAGAAAATATATATATTTTTTCATTCTACCCATGGCAATTAATAACCAAGTCGCTGTCTCTGTTTTAACAATGTACCACAGAAAAGAAGTTCGCATCAAGTTTTGGTAGATTTCCAAGCATCAAGAAACAAAAAAGCTCTAATTGCTCAACTCGATAAACAACTACCCAACTCTATTAACATAAGATAGATATAGAATTAAAGACTATATTTATTTGATAAATGTTTTTCAACCCAAAAGCAATTTAGCTTAGCCAAAATCTCTAAATGTGCCATAGTTTCTTGAGCCATTTCGCCTTTTTTTCTACCATGCACATCAAAAATAATCACTAAGAGTGCGAGGGCTTCCACGTTTATTTAATATTCTTACCCACTTTAGGAGGGTTGAAAGGTGTCTCTTTTAACCGTTTTTCCAATTCCGCAAGGGATGTGTTGTTAATGAGATCCTACAAACCAGGAAGCAGAGAATTACGAGACTTCACCATCTCAGTGAAATATATATTAGAGGTTCACTGACAGCTCAAAAAAAAAAAAAGGCATCTAGTGCTGCCCCCTTGTGTTCTTTAAAGAAACATAGACATCATTGTTTATTCAAGTGACAAGAGAAGCAGCAAGTTTAATTCTCGTACGAACTATAACCAAATGAAAGGAAGTTTTTACAGATGCATTAAATACCTATGGACCTTCTGCCAGAAAGCTACAGTACGCTGGTGTTCATTTCACCCAGTTATATAAAGTCACTTCGCAAAGCAGCAAATGATTATTCCTTGACTTGAATGCTCTTGATTAGAAAATATACCCAAAATACATAAAACAAAGAAAAGAAAGTAAATAAGGAAAACACAGTGTGCATGTGTAACTTATGCAAAAATAAATTTTCATAAGTGGATAAGCCCTCTGCATAGGGAGCTAGATCTGATAGGGCTACCATGGTTAGAATCTCAGCCAGGTGTCTTAAACAAGGCAGGCGAGTGTGCATACATGCCCCAAATCCTGACAGATGGAGAGAGAGAAATAAAGGCTGTGGCATGACCACGCCTCACTGGGGGCTGAATATTTCTCTCTCTTCTGCAAACACATGCACCCAGTGGCAATTAAAAACACACTTACACACACATATGTATATATTTTAGAGGTTTTTGCTTTAGGGAGTGTGTGCTTGCCAGAAAGACAGAGACAGTGAAAGGGAAAGTGAGAAATCACCCCCCAGGAAGATGGCCACACAGCAATTTCTTTCTCCTCCATTCTCCTCCTGGGATCCTGGGCACATACACACACCCAGCATGAGTTTCAAGCCACTGGGTCCAGGACTGAACTGCAATGGGCCATGTGGGAGTCCAGCTATGTAACCCGTATGCCATCTGCTGGCCCTCATAATTATTTTTTTTAAATGTCTAGAGACTAGACAGTGGCACAGCAGTAAAACACAACACTGCAAGGCTGACCAGCGTGGGAAGGCTCCAGGTTCACTTCCAGAGACCTCCCTAAGTATGCTGGGCACAAGTGTGCCCACGATCCAGGCAGGGCCCCTGAATCTGGAGGTAGATCATGTCATCAAGACCCCTGGGAACCAGCAGTTGGCATAATGGCTATGTCGCTGGACTCCCATGTAGTCGACCGCGGTTCGCGTCCCAGACCCGGTGGCTTAAAACTCACACCAGGTGCGTGTGTGTGTGTGCCCAAGATCCCGAGAGGAGAATGGAGGAAAAGGGATTGAGGCATGACCATCCCCCCTGGGGGTGATTTCTCGCTTTCTGTCTGTATGTCTCTGTCTGTCTGTCTGGCGAGCGCACACACGCTATAGCGAAAATCTCTCCAAAAAAAAAAAAAAGACGGTGCAGGAGGTGTTCTGCCTGTCTCTCTCTCTCTCACTCATGAACAAATAAATAAAAAATAGATTCATATTAAAAATGTACATTCAGAAAGAAGAAAAAAACATAATCCTATCACCCAGAGACAATTGCTACTTACATTTTAATATATTTATTTCTGATCTCTTTTTTTTCTCCCAAGTTTTGTTGCAGGGTGCATGTACTCAACAGAGAGAGACAGTGAGTGAGAGAGAGAGAGAGAGCACACACATGCAAGAGAGACAGAGCAAGTGAGAAATCACCTCCCTGGGGAAATAGCAAAATTGCAATCCCTTCTCAATTCACCTCTCAGGATTCAGGGCACACATACACATGCACCCCAGAGTTTTCTTCAAGCCATGGGTCCAGGTCTCAAACCACACAATCGGCCATATGGGATGCAGCCACCTTAACAACCACACCACGAGCTGGCCTCATTATTTCTAGCCTTTTTCCATTTTCTTTCTCTCTTTCTCTCTCATTCTTCTCCTTCCTTTTTTTTTTCTTTTTAGTTTGCAATAGGACATGTGTGCTTGTGAGAAAGAGACAGAGAGAGAGGGGGCAGGTAAGAAAGCATGCTACAGGGGGGATAGCCGTACCACAATCCCTTCTCCTCCATTCTCCTCTCAGAAATTTGGGCATGCATGCACGCAGAACTGATGTGTTTTCTTCAAGCTGCTGGGTTAGGACTTACCATGAGGTTGGCCATGTGAGACCTAGCCACCTTAAAAACCATGCCACCAGCTGCCCATTTCCTTTGTTAATTGCCAGATGACACAATGCTTCCCAGAGAGAGAGAGAGAGAAGGGGAAAGCACTACCCAACAGGACTTGGTCACACCACAATCTCTTCTCTTCCATTTCCCCATCCTCTCAGGATTTGAGGTACACACACACACACACACACATGCTTCTGGCTTGATTTTCAAGCTGCCAGGGCTGGGATTCAAACCACAGTTGACCATATGGAATCTTGTTCCCTTAATTGCTAGTCTACAAGGCTGAACTTCTTTTTTCTTTTAATGTATCTTAAGTGACATTTAAATATACCAGAATTCCAAAACACTTAGCAGTAATTCAGAAAATTTCAAAATATAGCTTATCAGTGATAATTCAAATTTAAACAATACCTTAAAAGGTTGTGTGCTGGCCATCAATTTAGTATCCAAGAGTCTAAAAACAAAACAAAAAAATGTTTAATAAAGTAAACAAAATGTATATCAATGATCAAAATGTATTTTACTCAAATATATAAAATACTTAATACTGGGACCAGCAGTTAGTGTAATGGCTATGTCGCTGGACTCCCATGTAGTCGATCGTGGTTTGAGTCTCGGACCAGGGAGCTTAAACTCACACAAGGCACGTGTGCATGCGTGTCCAAGATCCCAAGAGGAGAATGGAGGAGAAGGGACTGTGGTGTAGCCATCCCTCGGGGGGGAGGGGAGGTGGGGTGGTGGTGGTGATTTCTCTCTTTCTGTCTCTCTGTCTTTCTGGCGAGCGCACGCACCCTATAGCAAAAAACTCGCAAAAAAAAAAAAAAACTTAATGCTTAAGATACTTAATATACTGGATACATACTCCCTATATACTTCCCTATATAAAATATTAAAAGTTCTCAGAGCTGGGGGCTGGACAGTGATGCAATGATAAAACAACACGCGGTAAGACAGACACGTGGGAAGGTGCCTGGCTTCCATGTAAGAGGCCTCCCTGAGTACCCTGGGCACATGTGTGCCTGTGATCTGGGCTAGTTCAGGCTGGAGATGGTTCACAGCCTTAGGACCCTGTAGAGAGTGTGCACACACACGTTCTCTGTCTCTGGGTCTCTGACTCTTGGGGAAAAAATGAATAAACTTTACAAGTGGAGAAAGTAAGCATAGAAGCCAATTTTTACTTATTTATTTATTTATTTAAATTTGCTACAGGGTGCCCTGTGCTTGCCAGAGAGTGAGAGAAAGTGAGAAAGCACCCCTCGGGGGATGGCCATGCAGTGATCCCTTCAGATTTTGGGCACGCATGCACACGCACCTGGTGTATGTTTCAAGCCACCAGGTCTGGGGCTCAAACTGTGTGGCTGGCCATGTGGGATCCAGCCACCCTAACCAGCACCCACCGGCTCGGCTCACAGTAGCCCTTCTGAACCTGGCACTGGCATCCCTGCTATGTTAGACTGGAGACTCGGTCCAAGAACTTCATGAAGCAGCTGTGGGAGAGTCCCCACCCTGATGCACTTGGGGCATGCAAGTCCCAGATCTGCTTGTATCCTGACAGTGTGGCTACATCTGCCTCATAGGAAAGTCAAATAGTCTCAAGTTCTCACATTTCAAACAAGGCTGAGGTCTAACAGCCTGTAACTACTGCCATCGACTGCTGACACTCTAGTGTTCGTACACTATTAATTCTTATGGAGGGAGGGTTATCATTTGCATTCAGTAGCTTCATGCTGTTTTGTTCATTCTTGCTATGACATCTCAAAGATCAGAAATATTAAAAAAAAAAAAGAGGGAGACAGAGACTGACTAATATGAAAACTATTCTGTTTCTTTCTTTCTCACATACATGTGAACACTGTGGCTAACAGGACAGAACCATTTCAGCTGAAAGAGCACCTACTCGGCTACCATACCTGTCACTCTTCAAATGGGTCCTGAAACACAAACCCTTGCTCTGCAGGCTCCACATGGCTGTCGTGAAACCTCTCAGACATGTGACATATCAGAACTAACAATATCAGCTGTGGAAAACCTAACAGGTAAAGGCACTGACTTCAGACAGAAGAGAAGAAATCTCCAGCCAGCCTGTTCTTGACGGACCAGAGGAGAATACTATCAGTTGGACACTGCATAGTTACAAATGCATCCTACATACAAAAAAGACAAGAACCATCTCCAGGGATCTTCACCAGTTCTTCAGACAACAAGACATCGGATAAGAAAAAAGAAGCTGTTATCTACTTCCATTCTCAGTTCAGACTTTGATTTTTTTTTCCCCAGAGGTTTTTGCTACAAGGCACATGTGCTAACCAGAGAGACAGAGAGAGACAGAGAAACAGAAAGCGAGAAACCACCCCCCAAGGGGGGATAGCCATGCCGCAATCCCTTCTCCTCCATTCTCCTCTTGGGATCTTGGGCACGGATGCACGCGTGCCTGGCGTGAGTTTTAAGCCACCAGGTCCGGGACACGAACCGTAGTCGACTACATGGGAATCCAGCGACATAGCCATTATGCTAACTGCTGGTCCCAGACTTCGATTTTTTTAAAAGTTTCTTTCTTCCTTCATTTCTTACGTGAGCAAGAGATAGACAGCACCCTCACCATGGTTCTGACGTCACAACCCCAACTCCAGCTTCAGCCAGCCCTGGATCACAGGCATACACATGCTCAGCGTACTCAGGAGGTCTCCGGGTGCAACCCTAGAACCTTCCCAAGAGAGTTAGCCTTGCAGAGCACTGCATTGCCCTATGCCACTGCCCAGCCCTCATGCGATCATTTTTAATGGGATAACAAAACCAACCATAAATTATAAAAGCAAACCATCACAAAGTTGGAGATACCAAATCATTTCCTGGCTTTTATAAACTGGATTCTGATCATGACCTAACAGTTTTAACAAGTTACTATATACCTATTTGTACTGTATGTCACAATGACTGTGAAGCTGGAGATACCAAATATTTTCCTGGCGTTTATGAACTGGATTCTGATCGTGACCTAATGGTTTTAATAAATTAATATACACCTGTTTGAATTGTATGTCACAATGACTGTGAAATGGAGATACCAAATCATTTCCTGGCATTTATGGAGTCTGATCGTGACCTCATAGTTTTAATCAATTATTACATAGTTGTTTGTATTGTGCATGTACATGCACTTTAAATGGATGACAAACCTTCAAAGAAAACTTACCTGGGGAAAACACATGCTGTCATCTCCTTAAACTCGTTTAACTCCTAAAAAAAAAAAAAAACAAGAGAATGACTTGTAACAATTTTTCTAAGACACTCAGAGTATTAAACAACATATGTAAATAGCTCAGGTTCCCACGTCAGATCGCAGGCTTGCAGCTAAATTCCAAAGCCCATCTGTAGTTAATAATTACTCTTTAAAATCTTCCCAAGTTCCTCATTGATAGAAAACCACATGACCTAGTAAGTAAACTTTTACAAAAAGGAAACAAATTTAAGAATCTTACACCCAAAACAGTAGAGGAAATAAAAGGTTTCTATTATGTGTAGAGACGCCTACAATACCTCCAATAAACTTCCAGAGCAGCTCACCAGTTGTACTCTATTACTCAAATTGATCATGATAGACTAGCAGAGTCATTTGAACAAAATTGTTTATACAGAAAATGGACATGCTCTAAACCAGCCTACGCTGAAATCATATTTGCAGTGTTAGTTACAATGGCCACCAAGGTGGTATGGTGGTTAAGGTGGCTAAGTCTCATACGCCCAACTGCAAAGTTTCAATCTCACCCTGCCCAGAATCCCAAAAGAAATGGAGAAGTGAGTGCAGTGTGACCATCTCCCATGGGGGGTGCTTTATCACTTTCCCTCTTCTGTCTCTCTCTTAAAAAAAAAAAAAAAAAAAAAAAAAAAAAAAGCAGCCACCAAAGCAGACTGTTCAATACATATATGACTCCTGCTTTAGCTACTCAGAAAATTGCTAAAGTGGCATTAATAGCAAGTGCCTAAATTAGACAATTCATTTCCCAAGTTTATTTTGATCAGGAAGTCTAGAGCTGAAACGAGTGTTCTAATTTTGAATTAACTCATTTACATACATAATTGCCACGCTAGACTGAGTAGTCATACTCCTCACCCTTTGTACACTACGCTTCCCTTCAACGTTATTCATGCTTCATAGGAAACTGCCATTTCCAATTAGCTTTTCAAGCCTGTAAATACAGACTGTATTTAGCTAGCTTGAAATATTTACCAGCTTGTCAATGTCTATCGTTAAATTAATGGACAATACAGGAACAGGCGGTTTCAATGCTAAGTCAAATAAAAAGCCAATGATGACTGTCTGTAATCTCCTGCCACCACTACAAAGCGTTATGAGCAAGAAAAAATTAGATGGCTACCTCCAAGCCAACATGTAGAAGAGTTCTAGATCAATACCTCCTAAAAGTCAAGCTTAAGTACCAAGAAGACTCGGAAAAAGAGACCCTCCCCTACAAGCCAGGTCCAAGACAAAGACTCTCCCATCTACTTCCATGTACTGGTCAATGCAAAAATTTGGTGCTGATGCATGTACAGACTCTACCACTTTCGCGTTTCTCATTTATTCTTACCATTTCCTCCGAAGACAGAGAAAACAAAACAAGACAAACAAAACAAAAATTTTTCTCTCTCTGACAAAGGCAGAACATAGAGAAGTTAAGAAACTTACCCAGGTATCCTTAGTAAGAAAGCAAGGGATTAAAAAAAAGCACCTGTCCTAGCTCAGGTCTTCTAATCCCACGGTCTTGCAATTTGATTCAAGACTACTTTCACCCAAGTTAATGTTCACTAAGTGCTTACATACACCATGCTACAGTAGGTACGCAGGTGCAGACAACGAAAGGCTACACTCCTTGCCCAAGGAGTTAACTGTCTAGGAGAAGATTCGCTGTAGAACACAAGACTAAATTTATGTACCACAGAGGTGCCCAGTTCTGTGGGAGCTCAGGGAAAGGAAAAGTCACCTCTTAGGCAAGGGGAAGAAACAAGAAAAACTTCATGAAGGAGACAGAAGCTGAACCTTGGAAAGCTAAGGTAAAGCTGTGTATAGCAAACCAGAAAAGCTAGAGAAAATGCAAATTGGAGGAAATGATACACCAAAATTACAGTCATGGGAAAATAAAGAGCACTGCTCAGAGAGCAAATAAGCCATCTGCCTGGAAAGAAGGATAGGAACAGTGGTTAGACTACAGAAAAAGGGCCAGGTCACAGAAAGCCTCATGAGCCAGGCATTAAAAAGCCAATTATAGGGACCAGCAGGTAGCTTGGTGGTTAAGGCGCTGGGCATTCCCACATGGCCGACCGCAGTTCAAGTCCTGGACCTGGTGGCCTACTTTCCCACTTTCTCTCCCTCTCTCTCTGTCTCTCTCTGGTCAAATTAAAATAAATGAATGAATAAATAAATAATTTTTTTTTAAAGTGTGAAAAAAAACACAATTATATAAAGAAATTAAAATGTGGGGGTAATTCAGAACTTTGAGCTGGTCCAGTGATCTGAACAGAGCCACAGATCATAAGATTTACAAAACTGGCAGTCAAAAGATATTCATTACATCAAGATTCAATACCTCCTGTGTGTCAAGCTGTTTAGTCTTCAAAACATCAGGCCAGCAGTTGGCGTAATGGCTATGTCGCTAGACTCCCATGTACTCGACCACGGTTTGAGTCCTGAACCCAGTGGCTAAAATTCACACCGGACGCATGTGTGTGCATGCCCAAGATCCCAAGAGGAGAATGGAGGAAAAGGGATTGCGGCATGGCCATGCCCCACGGGGGGGTGATTTCTCGCTTTTTGTCTGTCTCTTTGTGTCTTTCTGGAGAGCACTTGGGCCCTATAGCAAAAACCTCTACAAAAACAAACAAACAAACAAAAACATCTAGAAGAACAGCACAAGGGACACTTTCCTCTTTCTCTACTGTTAACTTCATTGCTTTAAAGGTCAAAATGTCAGGAGAGGAGCGGTCATTTTGGTCTATTCAGACAATAAGAACGGGCTGATATGAAATAAATAGTAGCTCATTCGATTTTCACCAATCTAACCTATCAAGTTTGTTTTGAAACTCACCACAGAGTGACCTAAGAAGCCCCACCCTGCACTCCATGTGCAAAGCTCTCGGCTTTAACACAATGAAACAAATGTTTCACCTTGACCTGGCAATGGCAGGTAACTGCAGATCCCTTACTAAAACGGCTTGTTTGTACATCCGGTCAGAAATGCACTACCAAACACATGAGATTCTTTCTGGGAATAGGCTGCATGTGAGGAAATGGCGCCCAAGTACAGAACCCTTGCTCGTCCGAAAAGTGCCAGGAATGGCTACCACGGCCGACAGGCCACTTACCGCAGGCAGAGGGCAGTAGAACTGGTGAACTGTGTGCATGACGTCCAAGAGCATGTTGTGTCCGATAACAAGCTTTCCCTAAAGAGAGCCGTGGTTAGGAAAAAGCTGGGCACAAAATCACACTGGGGTTGAGAACGAACTGCACGGCCCAGATTCCATGAGGATTCTGCACCAAACTTGCTTTTCTACATGAAAAAGAACTATAACTATATGCAAGTAAAGAAATTCGAGCTGCTTCATTTCTCCCCCATTTTGGAGTGTTAAATCCAGCATACAAAGTGAAAGTGCCAAATGATTTTAATTTCATTAATCTTTTTCTCTGACTTTTATTAATTTTGCCACCCTCAAGAATCAGAAGTAATAGATTTTTTTTTTTAATCAAAGAGATTTTTTTAAGGATATAACCTAAAAACACTGAGTTGCTTGAATGGTCAAATAATTTGTGAATAAAATTCTAAATATATATTTTAAGACTGTATTCTTTAAAACAACCTACTTACTTTAAAAGATATTAATAATAATAAAAGGTAAAAATAACCAATATTTTTTAATAATATTAAACAAAATACATTTTCATTTCCTTAAATCATCTATGTCAAAATCCATGGGACATATTCTTCAATACATTTTCATTAAAATTAGTTGCTATTTTTTTTTTTGGAGAGGTTTTTGCTATAGGGTGCATGCGCTAGCCAGAGAGAGAGAGATAAAAAGCAAGAAATCACTCCCCAGGGAGCATAGCCACGCCGCAATCCCTTCTCCTCCATTCTCCTCTAGGGCTCTTGGGCACGCACGCAAGTTTAAGCCACCAGGTCCAGGACTCAAACCGCAGTCGACTATACGGGAGTCCAGCGACATAGCCATTATGCTAACTGCTGGTCCCAAAATTATTTGCTTTTTAACTAACTGAAGTGCCATACGAGGGGTCTTCAAAAAGCTCATGAAAAGGGACCAGCAGCTAGCGTAATGGCTAGCTGTGCATGTGTGCCCAAGATCCCGAAAGAATGGCGGAGAAGGGATTGCAGCGTGGCCATCCCCTCTCGGGGGTGACTTCTCACTTTCTGTCTCTCTATCTGGTGAGCACACACGCCTCTATAGCAAAAAAAAAAAAGCTCATGGAAAATGCATATTATGAAAAACTGTGAATTTCAAAAATTTTTGCCTCAAAGTAAATTCTCACTTTAATTGGATTTTTTCCACAAATTTTTGAAGTCCCCTCATATATATGTAATAAATTACTCCGTTTAGATAAAAATTAAACTACCAGGATAGCCCCACAGCCTAGGGGAGAAGGACATGGCTGACTGCTATTCAGATCCTAGCACTGCCAGTTTTCAAACCAGGGCAGGTACATCTGTGTGAGTGCCCCAAATCCAGACAGAATGGAGAAATGGGGAAGAAAGGATTGCTGCATGGCCATGCCCCTTGGGGGGGGAGTATTTATTCTTTGTTTTTGTTTTTCTGTCTGTCTCTGGTAAGGATACCCATCCTGAGCAAGTTAAAAACAAAAACCTACTAAAATGGAACATCAATTTAGACGTAGCTAGCCTGGTGACACCGTTTTATCATAAAGCATCAGGTCATAACAAAGGAACTTTTTACTATGTCCCAATGGACCTTCAGTGTAATGCTTCTCCCAACTCATAGGACTGAACGTCATTATTTGAAATAAATAATCCTACATAAAATCTCCCAAATCTAACACTACCTGTGCATATTTTGAATACCTAGATAACACTGACTGAATTCATGTGTGTAGAAAACCCAAAATAGAATATGAACACTAATAACTGAACCTAACTGCATTAGAAATGAAGACCGTAACCATGCTGAAGGGGGTTGAGAAGAAAAGAACCAACCGGAAAGCAGCATCCTTCCTGGACACCATAGGGCTAAAGACAAAAAGAACTGCTCGCAAGGACCAGATGGTAGCGCAGCACTAAAACATGACGCTCCTGAGGCGGCCCACGTGGGCAGGTTGCTGGCTTGCATCCGGAGACCTCCCTGAGCATACCCGAGCTGGCTGAGGGTAGAGCACAGTGTCAGACCCTGTTGGGGTTCTATACTTCTGTCTCTTTCTGTTTCTCTCTCTTTCGCTGTCTCCCTCATTCATGCAATAAATAAATAAGCTTAAAACAAACAAGAAAAAGGAACCACACACAATGCTAGAATCTAGTCAATTCCTGTACTTCACACAGGGTATTGGTTAGTAGTTCTGAAACCAATGTACAGGCACAGCAAGTTGACACACACATAATGTAGGTAACAGGAACTGCTGGAGAAAGATACTTTGAATAAGCAAAGAGAGAAAGCCCAATGAACCATGTCATGTTGGACTGGAACTTGAGGAATCAGTAAAAAAAGGAAGGGTTTGGGCCAGCTAGATTGCACTGTGGTTAAGGTTGCATGGGTATGGGCCAGCTAGATTGCACTGTGGTTAAGGTTCTAGATTCCACATGGCTGACTGCGGGGTTCAAATTGCAGACCCAGAGGCTTGAAAAACACACCAGGTACTCGTGTGTATGTGCCCAAAATCCCAAGAGGAGAAGGAGGGACTGCAGGATAGTGATTGTTGGGGCGGGGGGATTGGTTTGTTCACCTTCTCTCTCCCTCTGCCTCTGTCTCTCTCCAGAGCACGAACCCAACAGCAAACCCCCAAAAAATTAAATAAATAAATAAAGACATGGGTATGTATGTTATCCACGTATGTATGTTATCCACATATGGATGTATGTGTATGTACACACACACAGACACAGACCCTTCTTAGCTCTGCCTAGTGAGAAGGTGTTTGTTCACCTTCCCTCTCCCTCTGCCTCTGTCTCTCTCCAGAGCACGAACCCAACAGCAAACCCCCAAAAAATTAAATAAATAAATAAAGACATGGGTATGTATGTTATCCACGTATGTATGTTATCCACATATGGATGTATGTGTATGTACACACACACAGACACAGACCCTTCTTAGCTCTGCCTAGTGAGAAGGCCTAGAAGCAAAGGTATCGCAATAGCAAGGAAGGTCAAAGTCGTGGCTTCTCCATGCCATTCCCAGTCAGAGGAACCAGAGCTCCTAGAAGTCACTGATGAGACTGCCGAGCCAGGGGAAGCATAAGGTAAGTCTGGGACATCTTGTGACACCACAAAGTAAAGAAGTGCTAAAAACAGGATGGTGGCTTATTCAGAGGACCCAGGACCCAAACCAATGTTGTGCTAGCGGCCAAAGTGGTACAATTTAGGTGATAAATAATAAAAATACAAGATTGTAATCTACAGAATAAAACAAATATTCCTGAATCCATACTCACATATATAAAAAATACTTAAATAAAGGGAACCAGCAGTTAGCGTAATGGCTATGTCGCTGGACTCCCATGTAGTTGACCGCAGTTCGCGTCCCGGACCCGGTGGCTTAAAACTCACGCCGGGCACGTGTGCGTGCGTGCCCAAGATCCTGAGAGGAGAACAGAGGAGAAGGGATTGCAGCGTGACCATCCCCCCTGGGTGGTGATTTCTCACTTTCTGTCTCTATGTCTCTCTCTGTCTGTCTGGCGAGCGCACGTGCCCCATAGTGAAAACCTCTCCACCAAAAAAAAAAAAAAAAACTTAAATAAAAACACAGGAAAAAGGACAGCTCTTCCTTATAGAAGAAGTCTAAGAATAAATGTAGAAACAGAGAGGGAAATATGAATTCGCCATTAGAAGTCCACAGTAATGACTGCCACAGACAAGATCCACTGATTCATGATAGGGTCAGTGAACAAAAAGTCAACCAAAAAAAAAAAAAAATGGGATTTTCAGTCTCAAAGTATCTCCCCAAAGATATTAACCACAAAGGAAAAACAGCATCTTCACAGGCCCGGACAGTGGTGCTACAGTAATGCAACTGGATCCACATGAGAGTCCTATGTCACATGTTGAGACCTCCCTATACACACCAGGCACATACATGTCCCCCCCTCAATCCAGGCTGACGGAGGCTAAGGGAGATTCGTGGCGTGGAGGGCCCTGTTGGGGTGATGACTCTACCTGCCTCTCTCTCTCTCTCAGAAGAAATAAATAAGTAAACTTAAAAATATATATATATTAACTTCACAGAACACAAATCTGGCAGACATCACCTACCGCGGGTAACCAAGGTCAACATCATGAACTACTATTTCTATGATATTCTACCCAAAACCATGTATCTGCAGCTCAATCATAACAAGACATCAGACAAATCCCAATTAAGGGACATTTGACAAAATGAACAGTCAATATTTATTAAAAGTATCAAAAGGACATTAGTAGAAAAACTGGTGAAATGCAAATAAAGTCTTTAGTTCATAATATGAGGTTGTCAGGAAAGTCATGACATATTTTTCTACTTTTCTATGCAAAAACGAGTCATGACTTTCCCAACAACCCAATACAGTATCAGTGTTCACATCCTGTTTCCATTAACTATATACAGTGGTTATGTAAGATGTTAACTTCAGAGATAGTTATACATGGAAACTGTGCTGCTTCTGCAGCTTTTCTGTGAGTATAAAATCAAAATCAACACAAAATTTAAACCTTTTAAAATATATATATAAAATACAGATTTACTAACAGTGACTAGAAAAGAACTTGGGGTGATACACCTATTTAAGAGTACCTACTCTCACCTGGCTTCACAGAGCTCACCTATACTTTTATTTTTAAGTTATGTGACTTACAGATTTTAAATGTCTGGATCGTTAATAATCAGGGCTTCTTGGAGTCAGCAGGTGGTATTAGTGGTTAAGGTGCTGGACTAACACGTGATCGACTGAGATTCAAGTCCCAGATCTGGAGGCTTGAAACTCACACCAGGCATGTGTGCATGCATGCCCAAAATCCCAAGAGGAGAATGGAGAAGAAAGGATGTGGCCCTCCCCCAGGGGGTAATTTCTCGCTTTCTGTCTCTGACTCTCCAGTGAGCACACACGCCCTATAGCAAAAATCTCTCAAATAATAGATAGATAGATAAATAATAACTAGGGCTTCTTTTATAGCATGCTTTGTGATGTTAACTAGCAACGGTCAGTAACGTACTATGGATTATTCTGTAGAAGACCTCAGAGAAGAGCAAATGAAGCGGCAGGAAGCTAAGGCATCTAAACTGTGCAAAGCACCCATATGTCCCAATCTTGGAAATGCTATGTAAACTATTGTGATGGCTCTAAGAGAGCTCAAAGGCACATGTGTTCCACATCTCTGCATTTCAGGGGAAGCATCAGCTAAACCAAACCCTTCTCTAAACATCTGGCTAAGTGTGTCCGGTGTGAGCAAACATGACCAGAAACTCACCTCTGCTCTTCTGAATCCTAGTGATGTTGGCAACTGCTGGAGAGACACCTCCGTTCATTTCCAGGTCCACCCAGCTTTCTAGTCCCTCTGCTTACCTTCCTTACTTTAGCAAGAAAGTTCCTAGAGATGCAACCTTCTTCTCTACAAGGCTCTATAACTTCTGTTTATCTCCAAACAAGGGCAGTGGTGTGCCTCCCTTCCAGCGCCCCTGTGTTTACAGGCTTGTGCCTGGTGTGAAACAGCCATGGAACTTTGAGACAATCTATATGGCCATACCCCTCTACCGATGCAAAGCTCGACATCCAGAGACTAAACAATTCCTTCTTCTATGGCCAACTGCTCCAGAAAAGATGAACTTAGACTCCAAGTAATTCAGCATCCGAGCAAGCTGTCTATCTAAAACAACTAGCCAAATGACCTGGTTTTTCTATACAAAATCTGGACGGTTCTTCTCAGGAAGAAATTAAAGCAAAAAAAGGTCTATCATATCTATAATACAACCCTCAAGCATATTTACATGAATGGCCAATTTACTTCTAAAACTGAGTCATTATTAAGGCTATCAGATATAAAAATCAATTACAGTTATGCAGAACTCAACGCAGACACAATTATTTTTATCCTCTGAATTCTTCTACTTAAGGAACAAAACACCTTTCATTAAATATCTGATTGTTTCTCACCTCGTCCTTTACTTTCTTATTCCGGTTCTCATTGGTTCTAAGGACAATAATTATTAGTTTCACACAGCCATAAGGACATCAGAGTATACTCTTCCTATGTGTTTTACACAAAAGGCTTTCTGAAACAGTTTAGATATAATTCAGCATTTGTGATGTCTCACCAAGTACAATATCCTAACATGAAATTCGAACTTCTTCCTCCATATCAGATAAACAACCAAACTGTGACTAATGATTGATCTGCAGTAATAATCAGGCATTCCATCTTCAATATTACATTTGGCAATACACCTAAAACAAATAGATCTGGCTCACTTACTGAATTAGCAATGGCGTGAATGACCCTAGAAAATCCCACAGCATCATTCAGTTCCTCCTAAAAAAAGAAAGAACGAACCACTGAGTACATGTATTCCTCATTTAAATGGACTAAAAATCTCACCATAAGAAAAGGCACTAAAATGTATACCAAGTACAATAGCTTCAGTCCCCCATGCTTGGCATCTCTTATCCCAAACAGCTGCATCTAAAATGATTTGTGTACATACCTTTCTGTTTTAGAAAGTGGAATAAGCAGTGACAACTTATTCATGAGTTACTAAAATAACGGGGCCTGGGGTTTACCCATTATTTCCCATAATGTGTTGACATTTCCAAGTCTATCAAGTTGTCTTGAAAACACAAACTTTTAAAAGTTGCCACCTGCTGGCTAAATTCAAAACTGCATTAAATTCCAGACACCCATCACACGGTTGATCAAATCAAGCATTCTCTTAATTCCTGATTTTTTTCCCTTGACAAATGCAATTCTACAAAATTTCTACTGCAAAGCTGTGACTCACTTTCTTTCTTCCTATTTTTTTTTTCACAACAGTATTTAATGGGTCAATGTCTCTTCTGCCTTGAAAACCCTTCCTTAACTCTAAGTCCCATCGATAGTGGCCCTTCCCCTGTTTCCTCACAGCTCACTTGCTTGAAAGACTTCTCTCACACCTTAGTTCAGTTTAACCCATGGGTGCTTGCAGCCCTCAGCTGTCTGACTTTACCCTCAGTGTAACTACTCACTTCCTTAAAACTGTACCCAAAGCCAAAGGGTGTTTGCAAGGATGTAGAGAACCCTTGTGCACCACTGAAGGGACTGAGGGGAACGTGAAGAGGTACAGCCACTTTAAAAATAAGAATGACTCTCTCATCCAGCAACTCCACTTCTGGGTATACACCCAAAAGAACTGAAAGCAGGGACTCAAACAGGTATCTGCACAGCTATGTTCACAGCACCATTACTCACAACAGCCAAAAGTAACCCAATGTCAGCCAATATGGATAAACAAAATGTGGCATAGCTATACAATGGACAATGGAGCATTACTGAGCCTTACAAGGGAGATTCCAACACATACTACAACGTGGATAAACCTTGGGGTACTGCGCTAAGAGCAAAGGACAAGTCCAATGTGGTCCCACTTAGATGAGTATTCAGAGTAGTCAAACTCTTATGACAGGAAGTGGAACGGTGGTTGCCAGGACTGGGCCAGTGTGTGTGGAGCGAGGGGAGATGAGGCGGTTGTTTAACCAGTACAGCTTCAGTTTTGCAGGATGAGAAGAATTCTGAGGGTGGATGGTGGTGAGAATTGCACAATAATGTGAATGTATTTGATGCCACTGGGACACAAAAACAGTTAAAATGGTAAACTACCCATATATTTTTCAATTTAAAATAAAGTTTAAAGCACATTAAAAAAAAAAAAAAAAACCTATTCCCAAAGTTAAATCCAATGGCTGTGTCTTAGTCCTCACTCCCACCCTCAAGAGTGCCTGATACTGCTGACTGCCCCGCCTCAAACACTTCCCCTGGCTGCACGTCACCATAATCTCCTGGTGCATTTTTTCCTTCTATCATTTCAATACCAGCAGCCCTTAGGATTCTACCCCAGGCCCTCTTCTCATTCCTCACACACTCTATTATGTTGTGACCCCGTCTGGGTCTCTATGCCAGCGACAACCATGTCTAACCCTCGCCTCTTTACTGCTCATAAGACTGGAAATCTACTGACAGGTCATTGCTCTTGGCTGTTTCAAAGACACTTCTAAAACTTCATCATGTCAAACCACGATGTGTCCTCCTGACCTTGCATAAGTCCTAACAGGCCGCACAGGTAAAGGGTAATCTGTGTCTTGGCCACGAACTGATCTGCACGGTGGCGGATTGCCTCAGGGAGAGAGGATGGGAAGCAGAGGCTTGCAAGGAGCTGCAACGAGACCACCTCCCACCCACCTCCCTGTCGACCCTGGGAGGCTGTCATGAGGCAGTTCCTTACCGCCTCTTCTGGGTTCTGGGAAGGTGTAGAGCTTTCTTCCCGGCCCGCAGAGAAGGGAGCTACAGCATATGAAAGCACAGAACTACAGTGTAGAATTGGTTCCTCAGTAACAGGGTATTCCACAACTCCTGCTGCAGTCATCTGGCACCTTCTGTATCAGTGTTGTCCTTTTAGGTGTGTGGGATAAGGACCACAGGCAGCTGGCACCTCCTGCTGATCTTCCTTTTTCTGTATAGGTACTAACCTGTCTAAATCTGAACGTGGTTCACTGTATCTCTATTGGCTCAGCCACTCAAAAGTTGCTCTGTCTCATATATGCATGTGCCAGACATCTACCCACACACACACCGCCTCCCAGTTCCCTCACCTGTGTCCTATCAGTGTCACTCCAGGCCACCCCATCTAAGTGAACCTGTCTCAAATGGCTGGCCTGAACATGTATCTTCCTTCTTCATCCTTCCTCTTCCATTTACATGTGATCACAAATTCCACTGATCTCACCTTCCAAACATCTCCAGATTCCATCTACGCTGCTACAAACTATCCTACCCCAGGCGGCCAACAGTACTCAGCTAAGTTACTCCACATCTCACTGGTCTCCCTGCCTCCAGTCTTACTCACTCAAACCCTTCCTTCGCAGCACAACCAGGGTGATGTTCTATCACTGCAAATGCTACCAGGCCATCCTAACCTGTGGGATCACAGGTTCTGAACTTAGATTTAGGAAAACTAGTAACCACACATGAAGTTTGACATGACAGCACTAGTTCGTGGGCAGTGGGGCTCAGTGACGCCTCAGCTGAATGATAAACAAGAATACCTTCTTCAGGACGCCTCACCTAAGCAGAGACTGGTCAGCCACACGACCAGACTCACTCTGCCAACCATGTCTAATGCTTAAACTCTACCTCCCCTTACTCTAGCCTATGTTTTTTACCAAATCAATTCCCTGCAGCAGAAAACAATTCATAAAACTGAACCCAACAAATGATCCAGAAATACACAGGAAGGAATACATCAGTACCGATGATGAATTTCATGTCTTGCCCAAAGGAAATTAACATGGCCCAGTCACCTGTTCTTTTGCGTGTTTCTGTTGCTCTCTTCTTTGGCGTTCTTCTTCATCTACCTTGCTGACAACTATGTATCGCTCCTTCTAAAAGACATGAAGCACATACACAATTTGCTAGAAGCAACTTGACCCCCAAAATTCAGACTGTTAACTACCATTAGAAGGTATCATTTTTATTACTGAAGTCTTCCATAAGCCACACACAACAGAAAGTATTCTGAAATACCACAAAAAGTTGTCGCTGGGACCAGCAGTTGGTGTAATGGCTATGTCGCTGGACTCCCATGTAGTTGACCATGGTTTGAGTACTGGACCCGGTGATTCAAACTCCCGCCAGGCGCGTGTCATGTGTGCCCAAGATCCCGAGAGGAGAATGGAGGAGAAGAGATTGCAGCGTGGCCATCTCCCGTGGGGGGGTGATCTCTCACTTTTTGTCTCTCTGTCTCTCTCTTTCTGGCGAGCGCACATGCCCTATAGCAAAACTTCTCCCAAAAAAAAGAAAGTAAAAAAAAAAAAAAAAAAGTTGGCACACTACAAACCAAAATGTTGCCTCTGTGTTTCCATGACATTTTCTCAGGATTTATTAATTTGACCCACAGATGTCAGTTAAAAGTCCCAACGATCTATGAGAGCAACATATTTTCTATGATGAACTAAGAACACCGTATTTTAAACATGAATTTCTAAACAGTTTTAAAGTAAAATTTCTATATCATATTTTATGAACATAAGAAAAAAATTCCTGAATTTTCAGGTAGCGTGCCAGAAACTAGTGCTATCTTTCTTACATATTGCATGTATCTATGAAACGTGCCACAAAACTTTCTATGTCAAAGTTTGAGACTTACCTTCTAGCAAGATTGTCTTTAATTTATTTAACCTTTATTTGATTTAGAAGCAACAACTACATTGTAAATGTCTAAACTTCTGCAGAAAAAACCTACCACCAGCCACCCCATCACCCAGTCATGGTTTGACCAGTGTACTTTGGGAATACACGACAACAGCTATGCTTATGCTTATGATTCAGATTCTAAAATATCATTTCACCTGCCTACATGACATAAAGCCATTAAAAAATTTTTGTTTTTTAAGAGGGAAAGTGAGAAATCACTGCCCAGGGGATGGTTAACCCACAGTCCCTTCTCCTCCATCTTCCTCTTAGGATTCTGGGCACACTCACACATGCACCCAACCCAGCATGCTTTCCAACCAGCAAGGTCAGGGACTCCAACTGCACAGCTGGGCAAGAAATTTTTCTTGAATGCCACAGGGCACTTGCACACATGAGGTGGGGGAGGGGGGACGAAAGTAACCCCAAATGATCCTGCCTCCTCCATCCCATCAGGATCTTAGGCACACGCAGGCACACACCCTGTGTCCTTCAAGCTACTCAGGCTGAGATTCAAAATGGGGCCAGCCAGGTGGAATCAAGCTCCCTCTGCACAGCACTTAACTGTACACTTCAGGGCTGGCTCAAGCCATTTTTGTCATGCACACCATTATAGCCTTCTGCCATAGTAAGAACATAAGCTAGCGTTGTATACTTGCAGCTTTATAGTACATGTTCACTTCTGGTTTATACACTGAAATACTATGAAAAAGCTGTAAGAGATCAGCAGCATGCTCAGTCCCAATGTACAAATGAGGAAAATGAGGCTTAGAGAAGTTAAATGACTCGCCCAATGACACCCAGCACAGAGGAAGTAGAGTCAAGATTTAAATTATGACTTTTAACACATCTGTGTATCTCTCACTGCATCTGTTTAATGTTGGCCCTGGATAATTCTTGGGGTTACCTTTTCAGTTTCTAGAGTCTCAACATGAATGCCTTTGGGATACCTAAAGAAAAGAAGCAAAATATGTTATCAGTAGATGAGTCAATGACAGCTAAAATCCAAAGTGTTTTAAAAGCAACTAACCAGCTATAAACGAAATATGAATTAACTATCGTTACAACAAAGATCGTACAGAAAGCCTATTCTTTAACATTTCAGCTGATAAATGTTTCCTTGATACCACTCTTAAATAGGTAGGAAACATATCTGACTTAAAATTAATTATTGTAGCACTCAGGCATTTTCTAAAATGTCTTGCATCTTGTAAAACAGTGAACTCATTACCACCAACAAACTTTGCTTACAAGTATAATAATTTGCTACCCAAATTGTTGACATTCGTTGTAGATTGTATGGGATGTGCAAAGACAAAGTTGCAATGGCCAACTGTGTTGTAGTTTGGCAAGGTAAGCATGAGCTGAGAAGGAGAGGAATCTGTTATGCACACAGAGTTGCAAGGAAACATGACAGGAAAGGAGCCTGGGCAAACTAAACCATGGCCCTTTCCTGTTCTGTACGAAGGGTATTCCCAGCACACATCACTGGCAGATTCTAATACAAGAACAAGGTCCTCAAAGTCAAATAGAAATGTCCAGCTACTTAATGCCAATGCTCAATTTTTGAGTTATAGATCCACTTGTAAATGCAAGAAAGTCAAGGGAAACATCTCCAGAGAAAAAAACAAACATGAAATTTTGGATGTTATTTCAGGAGACTCATAGACCTCTTAAAACCCATCCACAGTCTAACTTCAAGTTAAGAGCCCTACTGTAGAAAAAGCACTCATCTGAGTATTTTCTAGATCTTAAAACCAAATCTTTATTGTATACCTTTAAGGGAAAAAACAATATATATTCAAAGCTTAATGAATGAAACCAATGTGACAATCAAACCTTGAAAAACTTCAAAGCACCTGTTAAAAAGTGATAACAAAGGAGATAAAGTAAGTATTCAACTAAAAAAGTAGGGGGAATTTGGTCAAATCACTAAGAACTGCAGAATTTTCAAAAAAGAAATGAAACCTAAGAGATAATATTAGTTTGAAATCCTGGCCCCCAGAGTTCTTGCATAGGATATAAACACTTACTTCCAGCTCAGAGTCTGATAAATTAGTTTTCTTTGAAACCTATAAAAACAAAGAAACAAAAAGGTAAAAATTTGGACTCATTAAAGATAAACACTAGGGAGACTGGTAGGTAGAGTGGTTAAGGCACTGGACTCCCACATGGACAACCACATTTCAAGTCCCAGACCTGGTGGCTTCCTTTCTCACTTTCCCTCTTTCTCTTTGTCTCTCTCTGGTCAAATTTTGTTTTGTTTTGTTTTGTTTATTTTGTTAAGGCCATGTTTTATTTGCTGATTAATGGACAAAAAGCAATATAATTTATTTTCAAGTATTTTCTTGAAAGTCTGTGCTCATAAAAATCATGAAAAGTTGCAAAGACTGTTAAATCACTGAAACTTTAAATATATATTACACAATTCTCCCTGGTTGAATTAAAAAATAATAATAAAAAATAAAATTTTTTCAACAACTTTCTTTTTTTTTTTTTTAAGAGAAATGTTTGCTATAAGGCATGTGCACTCAACGTTGAGACAGAGAAAAACAGAGAGACAGAAAGCAAGAAATCATCCCCCCAGGAGGTTTGGCCATGCCACCAATCCCTTCTCCTCCATTCTCCTCTCAGGATTTTGGGCAAACACACACACATGCCCAGCATGAGTTTTAAGCTACCAGGTCCAGGACTCGAACTGTGGTCAACTACATAGGAATCCAGTGACATTAGCCATTATGCTATCTGCTAGTCCCTAAAGTAATTTTGTTTTATTTTTTTGTTTTTTTTTTGGAAAGATTTTCACTGTAGGGCGCGTGCGCTCGCCAGACAGACAGAGAGACATAGAGACAGAAAGCGAGAAATCACCCCCCAGAGGGGATGGTCACGCCGCAATCCCTTCTCCTCCATTCTCCTCTCGGG